ATTGTAAATCAATGATACCACTATCTTCATGCCTCCCACTGTTGCTATTCCTAGTACAGTTTGTGTGTACTCTTGCTGGTTGGATTCCTCTGTTAATTTTATTTTTTCAAAGTTCCTGTTTGATACCTGATTGATGGGGCTCTAGGAGTTCTTCTCCTCCTCAAGCCCAGCCCAAGGCTAGGCTCGACTTGTAAGAGCTTGGTCCAACAGGCTCTTGCTTGGAGCGGCCTCCAGTGTAGTACAGTATTTGTTCATGTGGCTGCATTTCCTTGTCTAATAAGGAAAGAGGGGTCTGATGATCTAGTCACTTATGACTGTGTGGGTGCTGGCTGTCTGGCCACACAGCCCTACTATCTCCCTCTGCAGTAATCTCTTGCTTCACTTAGCTGGTCAGTCCCACTATTTCCCTATGTAGTACTACGTGTTGTCAGATTTACTGTACTTCTTGTACACTGTGTGCCATTTTCTGGTCTAGCATTTTTCATTTGCATTTTTGTTCCCCAATATACTTTCCTGCCTCCCTATCCTCCTCAAGACATATTTTCTAATAAACACTATATGGTGCTTTTCCTCATTCTTCAAATCTCTCTCTTCTGCCATTATATATTTAACTGGCTTGATGTTCATAAAAACAACTTTCATTGTCTGATTTCTCTCTCTGAAATCTACCTAGCTTGCAAAAATGCTCCACTTCCATTGTTGCATCTCGGGCCTAAATTTTGTGAAGAATTTATTTAATTTGGTTCTCTCTCTCTCCCCCCATTTGCCATGTGTATCTTGTTCTGGTAGATTGTATATTATCACTAGGGCTGGATTAAGGCATAGGCTCTAGGGGCTGCAGCCCCTGAGTGGAGCCCCTTGATGAAAAATTTTATGAATTCAGGCTCAAGGATGAAACACTACGAGCTTCTGATATCTACACCCTTGTAGTACACAATGGATTAACTTATTTCCCATATGGTGAAATAGCATTATGGATTTGCTTGTGTTAAAATAATAACTAATGCAAATGGAAAGAGGTGTTTAAGAAGAAATATCTGAAGAATATACACAGATCAACAATGGCACAAGAACATCTAAACAGTCTTACTCATGGCAATTAAAAATTGCAAATTGAGAATACTACTGGGGCCTCATAGTACTTGTAGCCCAGTCGGGCATATAAAACCTTAACCTGGCTCTGATTACCACCAATCTTTCCCTCCCAAACTCCTGTCCAATATCTTGTGGATGGAGGTGGCTTCCACAGCTTCTTTCAGTGTACTGCACTTCACAATTACCCATACAAGGTATGAGTACTTATTTTTTTTGTATTCTCTGGTTCATTTGCATTTTCATTTTCCACCTGTATTCTTGTCCTATTTTCTCTCTATCTGTGGTAATTACCTAAGCGTAATTACAGAACAAGCTATGCTCGTGGTGTCCCATCTCCCCAGCACTGTCATATAACACTTTGAAACTACTAATGCTTTTGGCCTCCACCACTTAACTTGTTCCAACTGTCTACCATTGTTTAAATACATAAAAAATGGGTTATCATAGCAAGTTTGAGAATTGGTCATCACACCAGGTTGGTGGACTGGCGCTTGGCCTTCCTCCCATCTGATGATCCCAAGATTAAGTCTTCACAGAGAAGGAAGGTAATTATTAGAAGAAAATGATAAGCCAGTACACAGCACTTGGAAGGTATACGAAGACAAGGAGCCGAGATACAAGGACAGGGGGTGAAGGAACAGTACTAGGTCACTTGAACCACTGGAGATCGAACGACGACCCTTCAAGAGTCGAGGTCATCGCTCTACCGCCCAGTTCAAGTAGTGGTGTGTTAAGTCTAGTTCTTCTGCACCACCTAAAAACCTAATTGTAAACTAATATTTTGATTCTTTGTATCATCATCATCATCATCATCATCATAAGTGGCTCCCACAACTTCTTTCACTGCATTCCACTTGTTTACCACCTGTGCAGAATATGAGTATTTCCTTACACGACTCATTTAGATTTCCTGCTATGTTCTATTGTCCTGGATTGTACCTGGATGGGGTTCTGGGAGTTCTTCTACTCCTCCAAGCCCGGCTCGGGGCCCAGGCGTGACTTGTGAGAGCTTGGTCCAACAGACTGTTGCTTGGGGCTGCCGCAGGCCCACATATCCACCACAACCCGGTTGATCCGACACTTTAAGAAATTTATCTAGTTTTATCTTGATGTCCAAGGTTGTTCCGGCAATATTTCTTATACTCACTGGGAGTATGTTGAACAACTGTGGACCTCTGACATTTATACAGTGTTCTTTGATTGTGCCTATTGCACCCCTACTGAGGTTAACATTGGATTGTGTGCTCACCAAGAATGCTCAGCCTACCTTCTGGTGCAATTTGGGTGCCCTGCCAGGCATGCCAGTGTTTAAATCCTTATCCACCTTGTCTGTATTAATCAGTATCTTGTACAGTATGTTGTGATCATTTTCTTTATGTTCCCCTCTTCTCCTCTAAAGTTGTGTGGCCGAGTTCCTTTAACCTGTCCTTGTAGTTTTGTTCTCTTAAATCTGGCAGCAATCTTGTAGCAGGCCTTCACACTGCCAAATTTAGTTTTGTCATTGCCGAGGTTGGATAACATTCAGGTACAGTACTGCATATTTTAGTAGCTAACGGGTAGGTCTAATGTTTACCCCCCGTCCCTCAAGCTGGTTATGATGTAGTGATAGGTGTGGTGGTGTGGTGCTTACCTATTAATCACAACAGGGAAGAGAGATCTGCATCCTTATTCATTGATGCTGTACCTTACTATTCACAACTAACTTGCTAATTACAGCTTTTAATAACAAAATTGGCTATAAATTTTTCTTAAGAGTCATGGAAGTGGCTTCAACAGCTTTTTGGATGCAAACCATTTGCAGATGACCTATACACTGATTGCATTCTATGATATGATGCAATGGTGGAATAATCTTAATACTACTCTTTATATAACAGGAATTTAATTGCATCTGCCAGTGATTTTATTTTGAAGGCAGATCCTTGGCTATTGGAAATTATTATAATTGTGTCAAGTATATGTTTAAGGTAATGTCCAATTGGCTTTTCACAATATTTACACTTTGTGGTGTTGATCCCAATTTCCCAAATACACTGATAGCCTAACTGCAATGATGTGATGTGGGGAGGTGATGTAGTGTGGCACTGACACCACTAGGACACTGACATGTCTGGCTTCTGGGTGACTTTCTGTGCACAAGAACAAGTACTTTTCAAATGTGTCTTACCTCCTGTAAATGGGTAGGAAACAAGTGCAGATCATTTATCAATTCACAACCAAGAAAAAAAAACCACAATGACACTTCAAACTTCCTTTGAATGATCTTTGGCAACATTCAACTGGTAAACAACACTAAACTACAGAAACAGCCCAGCTACCCCGGCTGCAGCCAGGTGGTAGCACTCCCAGCAAAAGGGTCATGAAGGACACCACCTCACTGTAAGCCCAGCCCACTTTTGCAAATTCAGGGATGACAGGACTTGTAGAATGGGAATGAGGAACTACTGAGGGACCAATTAGAATAGTCACTATTTCTGAGCTAGGCCTCATCGATAGCTTCACTGTTTCCTATCTTCGGTGCTTCTACAAATGGAGAAGAAAAACTAAAATTCCTTGAGCAATTTATCCAAGGAAACAGCAGCACCCGAAGAGGGTATAGATGCAAAAGACGAGGTTGGTTAAAAGTTGAGGTTAAATTTCCATATGCAAGACATACAACAAAAGATATCTGGACAAAATCTAGAGGCTAAAGAACAGAGTGCACTCCAGAGGCACTTCTTGAAGAAAACTATCCAGTTTTCTCTTGAAGATGTCCACATTTGTTCCGGCAATATATCTTATGCTCGCCGAGAGGATATTGAACAACCGTGGACCTCTGATGTTTATAGTGTTCTCTGTGCCTATGGCACCTCTGCTCTTCACTGGATCTTTTCTGCATTTCCTTCCATATCGTTCACTCTAGTACTGTATTGTTATTTTATTGTGTAGATTTGGGACCAGTATTTTCCATGTTTATTCGAGTTTACCCCAAGAGCCACTAACACTAGTGGCCTCGAAGACAGGAAGCCTGCAGCTTATCGAAGGTCTCCCCCCCCCTTTGCCTTGATCTTTTCCAGATATACTTTAAAAGAACAGTTTTGATATTTACGGCTTTGGTGGGTAGGCCTTGGATTTATAACCCTGTGGGTGAAAAAGCTGCTGCTCTCACAGTCCTACATTGTGGCTTGTTGAGTTTGAAACCATTGTTCATTGTTTGTGTTACATCTAGCTTTTTTAAGAAATTTCCTGAACAACAATCAAAATGTTCAGATTTGCAAAAGTTTCAATGATATGCACTCGGTCATGCCTGGTTTGCAGTGTTGTTAGACCCTGTGGCCCTCAACCGTTCCCGATACATGAGTTGACTTGGCTCTGGAATGATTTTTGTTGCCTGGTGTTGCACTTTCTCCAGAGCAGCATTGTCTTTCTGAAGATGTGATATCCATGTTTTGATATGGTAATCCAAATGGGAGCACACCATACAATTGAATCAATACCTTTTTTTCCTTAAAAGGTACTTCTTGCATTTGTCAATATTAAAAAGCAGTGGCCAGTCCTCTTACCATTTGTAGAGTTCATATAGATCTCTTTATAAATAATAAATTAATGTGGAATACTCTCAACTATAATTATATGGACATTTGAACCAGCCTGATGCACAGTGCAAACCATGTCTTTTATAATTGATTAATACAGGGCTGTTTTTGGCTGTTAACATGGCAGTCTCGGGCTGTTTCAGAAATCATATACATTGCAGTATATAAAATTACAAGTGCTTTTCCCCTAATTATTTTTTAACACAATATCTACAGAAACAAAAACTATGATTGAAATCTCAGCTAGCCTGTTGCCAGCAATTAAGACCAAAAGGGAACAATCCAACATGCTTAGAAACATAAAAGCCACTTTCAATGCAATTAACTCACCATTTTGGTCCTTAACACACTTCAGTACATGACCATCAAGCTCACGAACAATATCCTTCTGCTGATCTTGAGTAATGCATTCCAAGGCCTTCTGAATCACACGACAGCCATACATTTGCAATGCTAGTGGTAAGACATGACCCCGAATCTTATTTGCCAACACAGTTTTCTGATCTGGTGTCCCAAACTCAAAGAACTTCTGTATTACATAATTACCTGAAAATAAAAATATTCTTTTATTCATAAAGCTATAAATTTTTCAAAGTTTAAACAAATATTTTAGCAATAAAATTCATGCTAAATGTTTAGTATGTATAACTCACCAAATACATCTGTCATGAGAGAATACGCTGCCGTCAAAATTTCATTGAATACCATTTGTTTCTCAGCCGGTGTTGCTCGTTCTAGCTTTTGCTGAATGAACCTGCAACATCAAGAAACTATAGTTGAGTTCAGTTTATCATTGGAGAAACTATTTTAAAAATAATAAGCTTTTACATATAAATAATAATCAGTAGAGTACATGCAAAATGTGACTGCACATTTTGCATATATTCAAATTCAACTTTTACACAAAGATCCATTCCTGGAGACCAAATAAAACAAACCTTCAAAATGTTAATATTTCCTTAGAAGAAAAACAAAAAAGTGTTCCAGGAAAATACAATGTTATAGATAAATAAAAACATACATTAATAAATATAGCAACACCATGAACTATGCTGTAATTTGGAGTCTATACATGCACAAATTTGAAAGTCAAAAACAAATGACTGACTTTTCTATTTGGAAATATGTTAAAATTATGAAAAAGTGTAGAGTGGAATGAACCACTACATTGTGAGTGGCACCTTAATTGCTACCCTGGCACCCAGGTCATTACTAGCACACAACACATTGTGGAATTAGGAACCTCCAGACAAGAAACTCCAAGTGGTCTGGTCCTGTAGTCCAGAGGTATGCAGCAGTGATCATGCTAGAATCAACCACTGCAAGAAGCTACTTGCTATGCCATCTAAGATCATAGAGCTAAAGCTTGCCACCAAATTAGTTCAAACAATAAGCACACAAGTGAATGATTATGCAAAGCAGTCAAATTATCAACAGAGCTGGGTCCCAAGCAGCTAGACAGTGACATTGTGATGCAATATTTTTTTTTAATTTAGTAATATTTTAATGTTTTTTAACGTTTTCTTCACTGTGATTTGAAATGAAAAATTGTTAAGTTCGGCAATATATTGACATTTTTCTTATTTTTAAAAAGTTTCAGTTAACGTAAATAATTCTTTAACAATTGCACCACAAATTTGTCACATGAAACAGGTGCACAGTGCAGGGGTTAATCCTTTGCCAATGCCACCATTTTTTGGCCTTATCTCAGCTAAGGGTTGAAATAGAGCCAAAATAAAAAAATAAAAAAATTATTGCATGTTAGAAGATAAAAATAAACATGTATTTCACATTAAAAGTTATATCAATCATAAATAATAATGGATGCAAGTCATACCTTGAACCATGTTGGTCTTGGCTAAATTCCACAATATGGTTAGCCAAGTCTCTTAGTTGGAGATTCGGGAAGCGATTATTGCGGAAATCCTCAAGTAAGCGTGAACGACCAGTGCATTTATCCAAACTCAAATTCCTCTTTAGTGGTGGAAATAATGATGATGGTCCACCAGAGTTGAACATGCCATTGGTAGAGCCATTACGGAACTTGGCCTCTGCTCCAGGTGCAGCAGAAATGACACGATTACCAGACATAAGAGCTCCAAGAGGAAGTGCTGATGAGGTACTACTCAAGCTTGGAGGTGGAGTAAGACTTCCCGAGGTTAGACCAATAGGTCCAGGAGATGCAGTTACAGTTCCTAAAGCTCCATAATTGCTAGTCCACTTAGCACTTCGAAAATCTTGAGAAAGGGGGGATAAAACAGATGTAGTGCGATCGAGAGAATCACGCCGACCCATACTGCTGCCGCCCAAACCTGTAACGAGAGAAATATATAATGAAATATTTAGCAAAAAATATATCAGCTTCATATTAATATTGAATAAATTTCAGAGTAAATATAAAAAACAGCCAGTACTTCAAATCCCAAAGGCATGCTGCTGCAGGATCTAATTACAATTACACTGTATTCAAAAACTTAAATAATTCATTGTTATAAATTAGTTAATAAACTGGACTTACCACCACCTAAATTGCCAATAGCAGGGGATCCAATGGTGCCCAGGGTGCTATTGCCAAAACCTAGACTACTAGTTTGCAGACCCAACGAGTAGTTGTTGCCTGTTAGTGCATTGGAAGTCTGCAGGCCTTGCGATAGGGAATCTGCAACAATGAGAAACAAACCACACACTATAATCATCTATGATGTACTGCTGCACAAGAGGATGCACTATATTAAACCATATCAAGGTTATACCATGATTTATTTAATGTAATCTATCAAACGACCGAATTCATTGAAGTTAGAGCGTCATTCAAATTCTAGTAGACGGCTTATTATTGTATTTGTATTAACTGGGACAAGGCCCTATGCATTACTACCAGAGTTCTTGACTCATCTTATACAAAAATAAATAAATCCGTTTACTAGTGCAAACAATACTATTTGCACATATTTAATAAAACAATGGAATTTTTTATACTGTATATTATACCAATTTTGAACTTTTGCATCAACTGACAACACTAATTGAGATTATTAAGAGTTGCTCAATTATGCCAACATGATTTCTTTATAGACAAAAATGAACAACCTTATTGGGCTCCATCTGTTGCCTAACAGGAGATTTAGGAATTCACTGCATTTGTAGGCACAGTATATCCTTGATACAAGCTGAAATTGTATGTAAACTTTGCTCCCTCAAAAAGAAAAGCATAGTAGTGTTACTGTATTAGTATCACACTAAAGAAAATGTTTTAATGACATGCAACTTCAGACTGGCCAGTTCTTATGGACTATTCCCATTAATTGGATTGACCAATTCTTAAATATAGTAACAATTATCTGCCAAGTTAAATCCAGCAACAACTGGCCAGTATCCTTTTGGTTATAGACTTTGTTATTAGCTTTCACAACACGCACTATTCATACAGGCAACACTTGGAATGCGTACCAGCAAGTGTGCTCCCGGTGAAGGTTTGGCTGTTGTTTAGGCTCGCAGTCTGGCTACTATTGTAGAGAGAGGCTGGAGGTGTTCCAATTTGAGGAGCCTGGATAATAAAGAGAAGCATTAACAACAACAACAAAAATTACAGCTTACATATTCAAAATCTTTGTGATGCTTCAAAAATGTGACTGTACTGTTAACAATAAACTAATTATGATGAGCATAACACTAATAATAATAAATCAGTCCATCACAAAATATTCTATACCTGGTTGCTCAAAAGTCGCATATTGTTTGCAGCAGCAGCTTGGGCGCCATTGGCACCATTAATAAGGACTGGCGCTGGAGAGACCAACCGAACTGGAGCTCCATTACCAACTCCTCTAAGGTTACCCATCAACACGGTTCCATTCTGGTCATAGTAGGCTGGGATTACCTGCTTCAGAAATGAAATATTACCATGGTAAGTAGTCAGTATACAATACTGTTTTTATACATAACTTTAATTACACACATTAAGAAGTATTATTATTAGAATATTAGTGACAAAAGCACACACCTGGTATTGAGAAAGAGGACCTTGCATGTTGCCTGCTGCCGCTGCAGCTGATGCAGCCAAATTTCCATTGCTTTGACTGGTAACTTCAGTAGTTTGAGATGGAGAGATTGGTCGTCGGGGTTGACCACCAGGGCCTTGTTGCTGGATAATGTTTGCTGGATATACACCCCAGTGCACCCCATAGTACTGAGGAATAACTGCTGTTGGACCTAACAAAACAAAGATTACTTATAAGTATATATTAGCACTGTGTTTATGAATCAAGGATGATCAGGTAAGTAAAAAATAAAGAATTGAATAGTAATGAAAAGTCCTTTTCTGGGCAGCCTCAGTAGCTTATTGGTGCATTGGTTCTGGTACCACAGACATCCACAAAATGGTAAGGCCTCTGAAATTTGCACAATCCTACTGAACACAGTAAAATCTGACGTTCTCAAAGGCATGGGTCCTTATAGTGGTGCACCTTAACCTAAACGACCACGATACACAAGATAATTTAAGCCGGGATCCTACTGAATCCACTGAGCATATACCAAATCGAGCATTTCCGAATTACCCAATGATATACAGTATCACATAATTTCAATTTTCCTTGTGTATTTGAAAGAAGCTTATGATGAGAACACCTATACCTACACCAGAGTGTATGGAGATAATTTGTAAAAACTTTATTTGGTATCAACTTGGTGCCTGAAGACCCCTAGTGGATTCAGTAGTATCCCAGGTTAAATTATTTTAGCATATTGTGACCCAGTGGGTTAAGGAGCATGGCTGGGAGTACAGTACCCAGGGTCCCTGGTTCAAGTCCCCATATTGCTCCAATTGATTTTCTCACTGTATATTGTATGGTTGAATTGAATTATATTAAGAAAGTTTAAGCTGCCTGAGTTAAGAATAAAAACTAGGTGTGAATGACAACTCACTGGGGACATTATATGACTGGTTACTACAATAAAATTGTAACTATTAAAATTAAGTTACACACAAACAATACTGAAGTTGGGTACGGTCATGTTTGTAACCCATTTCCAAAACACTGGGTTAAAATCAATTGTTTATAAATTGAACATACTTTACACAACTAATATTAACATTTTCTTGTAAATGTTTCCAAACTTCCTATGTTCAAAGTGTTCTTTCCAAAATAAGTCACTGTTCTGAAATCTAACAGCAGAAAAAGGGTTAAAAGTTCCACTTAAACATTATGTTCTTCAGTAGATAGCAAAAATCCAATTTTGTACTTTTAATTCAGAGGAATAATTTAAAAACAATTATAAATAATGTAAAACACAAAAACAAGAGGAATACCATACACCAAGGAATAAACCAGTTCACTTAAAGATGCACAACAATGAGAAGAATCACTCTAATCCACACGAGTGTTGAGAGAATACTCACCAGTAATAAGTGTGCCCACATATGGCTCCTGAGTGTTTATCACATATGGTGCACTGAAGGCTGCTGGTGGTGCTGCAAGTCCTGCCAACACACAATAAAACAAAATTAAAATTATATATTTTAAAACCATACAGTATTGGGATGAAATTTTCATGATGCTGATGGCAAATAATGTAGATTTGTTTAACATTTTATACTATATTTCATATTTGGATGAATATTTTGAAGTTCATGGGCCTTTGAGGTTATCATTGTTCTCCCTCATGCCAAAAACCCACTCTTCACCATATGACTTCTCTTACCACTTCCCCATCCTCCTATAATTACCTATTACTGTTTTATCTTATTCTGTCCATACACACCTCAATTCCCTTACACAGACCACCTACTGCCTCTACTCACTTCCCTACATAAAATGTGTTCCCAAATCCCTCATCACCACTGTTATTCCATATCACCCTCTTTAATTCCCTCTCCACGACTGATAATTATCCTTAACCATCGCAGTCCTACCACTACACACACCTCTCCCACCCTATTGAATCTAACCCAAAATAGGAATCGGATTTTTCCCATCCAGGTCAAAGATATTTGGACCTGGATATGTATAGGCCTGGATGTATATTTATAGACCTGGATATATATATACGTATTTGGCAGCTACTTAATTATAACCAACTATAAGGACTTTAGACCTCCTGGCCTCTTGTACCACCAACTGTGTAACTATTTTATTGACTCAGGTGTTCTGGATGACATCCTAACAATTTACCCAAAATTTGCTTGTCCATTTTAAAGAATGAAGAACGATTTTTATTTATATTACTTCTAAGCTGCATCACTTATGAACCCATCCCTGCCCTTGTGTGGCAGTGCACAGTAGAAAGTTGTTTTCACATATCCATACATTAAAACATTGATTGTAACCATGATATATATGTGCTTCAGCCTACAGTTTAGACCTATTGTCTTATGTATGACCCTCTGTCCTGCGTGACAGTGAATACCAGCATTATCCTCACTTTAATAAGACTATCAAAATCCTAAGATTAGGCAAAATTGTAATTAATTTTGTCAATAAAGATGTTAATAATAATAATAAGCTTTACTAAGAGAAAGAATGAGGCTAAATTTCTGAACATATTATGTGCCTCCAAATCCTTTACACTGCCATCCACAGGATGGGTATGAGGTGCATTCTCAACTAACAGTGTATGTTTTTGAACAAGTGGCTGAATCTACCAGTTGTACCTGCTTGATAATTTGTTCCACATTTCTGCATTAGCTGACTAATGTTAATTAAACCTGCAATACTTTACTGTTAACAGCTTGTTAACATGTGAAAATATCTACTTCAGGTACTTCATGTGTGTATAGGTGGGTTTTGTAAATATAGTAAAGTACATGCACTACTAACAGTATGGGTTTCTCTGTTCATTCTAGGAGTGAATGCTTTCTCATCCATGTACAGTGTTTTTAATTTCTTTACATCATACTGTATATGACATCGGAGAGCGCATGAACTCTTGGGCACATTAATACAGACAAGTTTCAATGGAGAGAGCTTTGTATTGTAGTTTGTTATTACCAGCCTTGGTGATCACCCTCCAGTACAGTATATGGTAATTTTAGTCTTTGTACTGTAATGGATGATTTTGTTATATTCATCCATGCTGAGTCAGTGAACAGTTTATTGGTACTAATGTGAAATTAATTCAAGAATACCCAGTACTGTACTTGGAACCACCAGTGAAGATAATCATTTGGAACTGCATTATAACAGTAATAACTCCACCAGTTATTGTATAACACACTGGAGAGAGACACATACAATATCAACAGCATATAGGAAGCTGGCATAAGAACATAGTTTAGGAACCTAAATCGGGACTCTTTCAAAGCAATCCACACAACATTTGTTTGACCAATATTGAAATACGCATCACAGTTGTGGAATCCGCATCTTGTGAAGCATAAAGGTAAAACTGAAAAGTACAAAGATTTGCAATAAGAATGGTGCCAGAGCTGAGAGGGCGAAGCTACGAACATAAGCTAATGAACTAAATCGTACAACCCTAGAGGATAGAAGTAACAGAAGGGATATAATCACAACTTATAAGATACTCGGGGGAATAAATAAGGCTGACAAGGATAGCAATTTTAGATTGAAAGAAAGCAGGACAAGAGGACACGGGTAGAAACTGGAAGCTCAAATGAGCCAAAGGAACAAAGTACTCGTACCCTGTACAGGTAGTTAATAAGTACAGTAGACTGCTCTAAAAGAGGAAAATTGTGGAAGTCACCTCCATCCACAACTTTAAGGCCAGATTAGGCAAAGCATTTGAAAGTCATTAATTAAGCACAACAGGTACAAGGCACGGAGGTGGGGCATAAAGAACTAGACCTCACTCTCCCCTAAACACTGATAGGCAAGAATATAAATTTGGGTAGGTTTAGATAAATAATGGTTTAGAAACAGGGTTGTTGATTTGTGGAACACACTGCCAGATAATATAGTACAGTAGATGTAGGATCACTTGATTGTTTCGAGCATAGGTTAGACATGAATGAATTTGGGTAGATATAAATAGAAGCTGTCACATATGAACTATACACCTTCTGCTGTTTCCTCAATTCCTAACATCTAGCCTGCCAGCTAGCCTCACGATACACCTAAACACACAGCGAACACTTTCTTGCAAAGGACGTCAAACCTCAGTCACTGAATAAACAGATTAACAAATTACTAACTTCAAACAAACTTTCTACACCTTTGTACAACTGCATTAACAAAATTTTAATATGGTAAAGTAATTACCCACTCGAATAACGAGTGCAAAACACAACAAAGTATTAGTATTCGAGTATTTGTGGAGCATGCATATTCATCCCACAATTATCACCAGGATATCATTTTAGCGGTGCACTAAATCTAATTACCGTCACAGCCTTTCCAACATAAACAGTCCCGTAGGCTCGCCTGCCACTCGCAACATACAATTGCAGGTATTACCAAAACATTCCCACAATACAATTTATCTAGCATATACCGATTATTACTTTTAAGATGTGTGTGTATGTATGTATGCATGCATGCATGTGTTTCTGGTTAGAAATGCTAGTTCTAACACACTTGGCCTCTAGTTAGAATGCAGGTTCTTGTCTACAAAGAACACACTAATGTCACTGTCTTGGAAAAAATTAACCTTGTTTATTGGGCTTTGAAGTGAAGTTCTGGCTATGAGATAGATATACATACAATTGATACCTGCTTGATACCTGCCTGATGGGGTTCTGGGAGTTGTTCTACTCCCCAAGCCCAGCCCCAGGCCAGGCTTGACCCACTTAAGATACACTTACACTTAAGATACAAGGTATATTACATCAACAGTAGGAGTCTAATAAACAAAATGAACTACAGGTATTTAAATGCTCTTGTCTGCACAGAAACAAATATTTCACTTACAAAAACAAGGATAAATATAGAAAACAGAGAACTATTAGATGAATATAAAATAAACGGATTTAAACTCTCATGCAGAAAGATATATTAGACGAGAAGGGGGAGTAGCCATATAAGTCAGGGGAAAATTTGAAATGTTGTTGTATTGTCAAAACTGAGCCACATACAAACTATTTGTTTAGAATTAAACAATAAGCTAAAAAACTTATAATAGTAGTTACAGTATATACAGGCCACCAAACTTAAGAATGGAAACAAAGCATCTATGGGATGAAATATCTAAACATCTATGTCAAACAGAATTTGTGTCATGGGTGACTAATTTTAGTAAAAAAAACTGACTTAACAGAACAGTGAATAACGAAGCAGAAGATTTTCTAGGATAGAAGATTGCTTTCTTAAGCAACAATGAAGGAACCAAATAGAAAAATAATATTTTAGACTATGTTAATTAACAGGGAGACAAATTAATGACATCGAAATAGGAAGTGAACTAGGTAACAGTGATCAAAGAAATCAGATTTAGCATAGAATGGAATAGATTTTAAAGAGAACACTGTTAAAAGTGCTATATTTGCAAAAAGCCGATTTTAATGGCCTAAGAAATTTTTTGGGTGGAAAACCCAGGGCATGGGAAGGGGTAAAGGGGGGGGCCGGTCTTTGAGGGAGATGTGAACCTAGCGGCTGGCTGACATAAGAAGGAATTTCGATGTGGATTCAAAATATAACTTATTTAAAAATACTCTAAGCAAAGCACAGAAACGTAGTGTACCATATAAATTTAATAGATCTAATAATAATGACCTGAAATGGATAACAAAGCATCTGAAGAACCTTATAGGTAGAAAGAAAGAGCTTGGTACAAAAGGATTAAAAATGGGGAAGTCGGTTTAGAACAAGAATTAGTCCAACTGGTTAGAAATGTTAAAAAAAAGAGAGAAGGTAAAAACAAAAACTATGAAGTTTGCATAACAGGGCAAGCAAAGACAAATACTAAAGTTTTTTCCAGTTATATTGAACAAAGATTAGGGAAAGTGTAGGTCCAGTGAAAATCGAGATCGGTCAGCTAACTGATAATGATGGAGATGAGGGCATTTTATAAATAAATATTTTATCTGTATTTAATAGAGGAACACACAATTATATTATATATATAAATATATATATATAAATATATATAAATAAATATATATATATATATATAAATATATATATATATATATAAATATATATATATATATATATATATATAAATATATATATATAAATATATATATATATATATATATATATATATATATATATATATATATATATATATATATATATATATATATATATATATATATATATATATATATATATATATATATATATATATATATATATATATATATATAATATATATATATATATATATATATATATATATATATATATATATATATATATATATATATATATATATATATATATATATAAATATATATATATATAAATATATATATATATAAATATATATATATATATATAAATATATATATATAAATATATATATATATAAATATATATATATAAATTATATATATATAAATATATATATATAAATATATATATATAAATATATATATATAAATATATATATATATATATATATATATATATATATATAAATATATATATAAATATATATATAAATATATATATTTTATTAAATATGACCGAAAAAGTAAGATTGATAATTCTAACACGAATTTTCTCAATCTTTCGTACATTATGCTTCACTGTTGGAGGTAAATTAAAAATCACTTCTCCAAAATTCATTTTTATTTCTAGTCTGACGCGACACGGGCGCGTTTCGTAAAACTTATTACATTTTCAAAGACTTCACAAATACACAGCTGATTAGAACTTGCGTTTCCCTGATTTTATATCTACATTTGAGTGAGGTGGGAAGGGTGATGTGGCATTACATTTTGAGTAAGGTGGGAAGGATGATGTGGCATTAGAGGATATTAATAGGGTATTAAAAGTATCAACACAAGACAGAACACGAAACAACGGATATTGAATAGAAGTGTTTGTAGAAAGCCTATTGGTCCATATTTCTTGATGCTTCTATATTGGGGCGGAGTCTTGAGGTGGGTAGAATGAGTGAAGCAGAACAGTGAAGCATAATGTACGAAAGATTGAGAAAATTCGTGTTAGAAATATCAATCTTACTTTTTCGGTCGTATTTAATAAAATATGTCTACAGGAAAGACTGCTACCAAAATATACTAAATATATATATATAAATATATATATATATAAATATATATATATAAATATATATATATATATAAATATATATATATATATATATATATATATATATATATATATATATATATATATATATAAATATATATATATAAATATATATATATATATATATATATATATATATAAAAATATATATATATATAAATATATATAAATATATATATATATAAATATATATATATAATATATATATATATAAATATATATATATATAAATATATAAATATATATATATAAATATATATATAAAAATATAAAAATATATATATAAATATATATATAAATATATATATAAATATATATATAAATATATATATAAATATATATATAAATATATATATAAATATATATATAAATATATATATATTATTAAATATGACCGAAAAAGTAAGATTAATAATTCTAACACGAATTTTCTCAATCTTTCGTACATTTCTTTTCACTGTTGGAGGTAAATCAAAAATCAATTCTCCAAAATTCATTTTTATTTCTAGTCTGACGCGACACGAGCGCGTTTCGTAAAACTTATTACATTTTCAAAGACTTTAGTTTACAAATACACAACTGAATAGAACTTGCGCATCTCCGATTTTATATCTACATTTGAGTGAGGTGGATGGGGTGAGGTGGCATTAATAGGGTATAATTTTCATCAACACAAGACAGAACACGAAACAATGGGTATTGAATAGAAGTGTTTGTAGAAAGCCTATTGGTCCATATTTCTTGATGCTTCTATATTGGAGCGGAGTCTTGAGGTGGGTAGAATATAGTTGTGCATTAATTGGCTGTTGATTGCTGGTGTTGACTTCTTGATGTGTAGTGCCTCGCAAACGTCAAGCCGCCTGCTATCGCTGTATCTATCGATGATTTCTGTGTTGTTTACTAGGATTTCTAAATCCTAGATTTCTGTGTTGTTTACTAGGATTTCTAAATCCTAGTAAACAACACAGAAATCATCGATAGATACAGCGATAGCAGGCGGCTTGACGTTTGCGAGGCACTACACATGTTTACTAGGATTTCTAAATCCTAGATTTCTGTGTTGTTTACTAGGATTTCTAAATCCTAGTAAACTACACAGAAATCATCGATAGATACAGCGATAGCAGGCGGCTTGACGTTTGCGAGGTACTACACATCAAGAAGTCAACACCAGCAATCAACAGCCAATTAATGCACAACTATATTCTACCCACCTCAAGACTCCGCTCCAATATAGAAGCATCAAGAAATATGGACCAATAGGCTTTCTACAAACACTTCTATTCAATACCCATTGTTTCGTGTTCTGTCTTGTGTTGATGAAATTAATACCCTATTAATGCCACCTCTTGTTCTGTCTTGTGTTGATGAAATTAATACCCTATTAATGCCACCTCACTCAAATGTAGATATAAAATCGGAGATGCGTAAGTTCTATTCCTCAATCACAGACAATTGACGGGAGACATCTCCCGTCACGCAGGGTTCATTCGCACCTCCACTGATCTCCAGTATCAGCTCTTGATACTGGCAATGGCTCAAAAGGGGCCACCACTTACGGGCTATTCATGCCCGTGCCACCTATTGGGTGGCCTCATCTTCATCTTAACACATTCACAAGGGAGACATCTCCCATCATGCAGGGTGCATTCGCACCTCCACAGATCTCCAGTATCAGCTCTTGATACTGGTAATGGCTTAAAATGGCCACCACTTACGGGCTATTCATGCCCGTGCCACCTTTTGGGTGGCTTAATCTTCATCATCAGTTCTATTCAGTTGTGTATTTGTAAACTAAAGTCTTTGAAAATGTAATAAGTTTTACGAAACGTGCTTGTGTCGCGTCAGACTAGAAATAAAAATGAATTTTGGAGAATTGATTTTTGATTTACCTCCAACAGTGAAAAGAAATGTACGAAAGATTGAGAAAATTCGTGTTAGAATTATTAATCTTAATTTTTCGGTCATATTTAATAATATATGTCTACAGGAAAGACTGCTACCAAAATATACTAATATATATATTATATATATATATATATATATATATATATATATATATATATATATATATATATATATATATATATATATATATATATATATATATATATATATATATATATATCAAGAAGTCAACACCAGCAATCAACAGCCAATTATTGCACAACTATATTCTACCCACCTCAAGACTCCGCTCCAATATAGAAGCATCAAGAAATATGGACCAATAGGCTTTCTACAAACACTTCTATTCAATACCCATTGTTTCGTGTTCTGTCTTGTGTTGATACTTTTAATACCCTATTAATATCCTCTAGTGTTCTGTCTTGTGTTAATGCCACATCACCCTTCCCACCTCACTCAAATGTAATGCCACATCACCCTTCCCACCTCACTCAAATGTAGATATAAAATCAGGGAAACGCTAGTTCTAATCAGTTGTGTATTTGTGAAGTCTTTGAAAATGTAATAAGTTTTACGAAACGCGCCCGTGTCGCGTCAGACTAAGAAATAAAAATGAATTTTGGAGAAGTGATTTTTGATTTACCTCCAACAGTGAAGCGTAATGTACGAAAGATTGAGAAAATTCGTGTTAGAATTATTAATCTTACTTTTTCGGTCATATTTAATAATTATATATAATATATATATATATATATATATATATATATATATATATATATATATATATATATATATATATATATATATATATATATATATATATAGGAACAGAATGACAGCAAATTGGAACAGAAATGACAGCCCTTGGTAAAACCATGATGAGAATCACTTATTTATCTATGGTTAACCCAGTTCTCGATGCAGCTGCAAACGTTTGCAAAGTACGTGACCCAATTTCCGACGTCATTAAACCCTTTTCCTTCGGGCCATCCTTTTGCGCCTTGGAAAAGAAGGCTAACCCATTGCCGTGGGTAACACTCGTTGCCTTGTTGATTGATTGATAATTGATGAAGATTAAGCCACCCAAAAGGTGGCACGGGCATGAATGGCCCGTAAGTGGTGGCCCTTTTGAGCCATTACCAGTATCAATAGATGATACTGGAGATCTGTTCGAGGTGCAACTGCACCCTGCGTGACGGGAGATGTCTCCCGTCGTTGCCTTCTTGTGACGGTCCTCTTATATATATATTGCAGGTACAAGGGATGTTATGAGCAAAAATCAGTGGCTGTTGTCAACTAAAACTGGTGCAACAATGGAAACACTGGGGAAGTATAAATTGCCATCCACACTTGCGTTGAAGTAAACATTCCATTCACCTGGATTGTATGGGTCTCGAACCACAGACCCCTTACTAATTATAGGGGGTAGTGGTACGACCTCACAAGCGCGGGGTCCGCGGTTCGAGACCCATACAGTCCGGGTGAATAAGGGAAGTACTAACGCGAGATGGTCGGATGGGGAGGAAGTTCAGCGAGACGTCGTTGCAGTGTGTGGGTCAATTGCAAATACTGTGGGGTGAGTGTCCACAAACATGAGCTACAATTAGAGGCGCAAGCAGAGGCAGACAGGAAGGAAATGAAAACCTACCGCCCTTCCGGTAACACTAACTTCCTGCAATGGTAAACACTTATCATGGACAACTTACAACACGTGGAAAACCGGCCAACCAGCATTATGTCGCCGCCACCGCCTCCTCTGCTATGGTGCTGGTACATAGTCGGCATCACAGCTTTGGTAGAGAGTTTTCCAAAAATCAAATCCGGTAACCTTATAAGGCTGAGAGGAGACGTGCATGATGCAGCCCATCCCCCTAAAATGATAGCACTTATAGCAACCATTTGGTTAAACGTACAAATATGTACTATTAGACCCCAAAAATGTCCACTTTTATATCAATGACCCTAATGGCATTCTAGAGAACTGGAAATGTTACCAAAAACCTGACCTAACCTGTCCCAGCAATCCTAAGCCTAGTATATTCTTCGGCTTAATACAGTGCATATATGTACTATAGTAGGCCTAAGAATGTTAGTTACATTCTAATTTTCTCCGGTTATACAATACTAGAAATGGTGAAGGTAATTGTTGCTACAAGTACAATCATTTGAGGAGGATGAGTGGATACTTGTGGGAGGTGTGTTGGTGAACTGACCCTGTTGTTGAGCAGCTTGGGCTGCCAAGTACTGCTGCTGGGCGAGCAGCTGGATCTGCTGGGGATTGGGTCCTCCTTGCTGCTGCTGCGCACTCCGGAACAACTGCTGAAAAGATCGAGACAGTAATTAAGACACCATGTCGAGTTAGACAGATTTCTAAAAAATAATGACAAATAATTCACACGAATGACGCTTAAATACAGTTTACCTTTTTTAGTTTAGCTCCGTCGTAATCTATGAGGGACTTGGTTATATCCAGGTGGAAGCTGTACTTTTTCTCCTTCAGCTTCATTGTCAATAATCTTTGGTATAATGCACTCACAACACGCTATAATATCCGCCTTTACACAGCGGCTCGCTCACCGTATAACAAATATAAACGTTTACACATTGTCATATTTCCTGCACTGTGTCCATCACGAACTACTTCCACAAAATTGTAATTAATTAATATCAATGAGTAGAACTGACTGCGTAGTACTACTTAATGTCCATATTTTCCAGTTTCATTTAACACTTTCATATAATAAGAAAAGCATGTAAATAAATAACTTGTAAAGGTGTGGAATGGATTAGAGGAAGAGTGCGATCTGTGAGGAATGAGGATGAGTGAATGAGGCAGTGGTGGTGGTGGTGCAATATTTGGTTAGACTTGTGAGTGAGGTAGCCAACAGCCTTGTCCACACGGCTCACGTCCTGACCTGCCTCCCCCGCCCCCCCCTCCCAGGGGGCCCAGCACCCCCCCCCTGCCAGGGGGCCCAGACCCCTCCTGCACTCTGTACTCCTCCCCCTCCTCCTGCACTTACCATCTCCCTTCATAACCCTCCCACACAACATTCTTCACAACTTAATCAATTGTTCCCCATAAACAAACATCACCAGTCCTTGCTACACATTACAACTATTTCACCACATTGGCTGGACGGGCAATATGTTCGGGGACTGAAGACTGACAAACACGCAGCCACACTACCCTTCTCTCTTAACATAGCCGGGGGACCACAACTAACCTGTATGCACACACCAGCCGTGTATCTATGACTAATATGTGCACATAACTGAGCACGGCGACGTCAAGAGAAAGTATTGTATCTGCACTACGCCTAAATTAACACTAGCAAGAGCAGCATTATACCGCCTAGTGGTCAGGTCCCTAGGCACACCGGCCCCGCCACCAACACCGTGACGTGGATAATTTCGTTTACCTGCTTTTAGACCCCAGATGAGTTTTTACCATCCACTCATCCACACAGGCTACAGATCTAATTATCCATGTGGGTCATCACTGGCTCCAACAAAACCTGGTGTTGGGCCCGGGTTGCCAGCCTTAACAATGTAACATTACTGCTGCTTGGTACAACCTGCAAGGCTCTCCAGGCCCCACCCTTTACCCTCAAGTCAATGACCCACTATATTACAAAATCACTCTCTGGAGCCGAGGGCGAGACATTAGTGCGCTTCAATATTAGTGTACAATACCGCAGACTCTTCACGACACTAAGGCATCCTAAGGTGTACCTCAACACACCTTTATTAGGGTAATTAGTACAGGAGAAGAGGCGCAACAATTTAGCGCGGGAAGTGGGGGCCAATGGCTGCCAAAAGACGTAATCTTCTATTTACCAGCAACAATGAAGGGGCAGAAGCAGGCAGTTAGGAATCAATACCGGTAATCAAGAGAGAGAGAAGAGGCAACACGGTGAAGGCAGGTGAAGTGAAGGAGCGGAGAGCAACAAGCCTCCCAGAACACCACACAACTGCACCTGGTAACCATCATGTCTAATCACCTCAAACACAATGCTGTACACATCTTTAAGCAGCCTCCGGTAGTAAGAGGACAACTCGTCACAACGGCCGTAAGTGAGGGAGAGGGGAGAGAATGAGAGCAGGGGAAGAGAATAAGCGCGGGGGGGGGTATGAATAAGCGTGGAGGGGGAAAGAATAAGCAGGGGAGGAGGGGGGGGAGAAGAATAAGCGGGAAGAGGGGGAGCATGAGGAAGGAAGGGGGAAGGGGAGGGCGACCCCACCTTTACCCCCCCCCCCATCCTGAACAGTGTCTTGACCGTAAAAAAATTGTCGATTTACAACGTGATGAGCAAACAAGAGAACGGTGTTGATGGTGATGAAGAGACGAGCCTGGCGGCGTGTGTGGAGGGAAGCGAGCAGTGAGTGTGTGTGTGACTGTGAGAGTGTGTGTAAGTGAGAGTGAGTGAGTGTGAGGGTGTGAGTGAGAGTGAGTGTACTCACCTAGCTGGGGTTGAGCTTCGGCTCTTAGGGAGAGTGGGGCGGGGGAGAAGGACGAAGGAAAAAAAAAATGATAAACAGAAGGGAATTATCATGGGAAAGCGCCAAGCCATTGCGACTAAATAGCAGTGGGATGGGGTCGGGATTCAGGATGGGACGGAGAGGAAGAAATAATGCCCACCCACTTGGACAGTCGGAGATGAACGCCGACCTGCATGAAACGAGACCGTCGCTCTACCGTCCAGCCCAAATGGTTGGGAGAGAAAGAAAGAGAAGAAACAGAGGAAAGAAAGAGGAGAGAGGGGGAGACAAGACGGGGCAGAGAGGGAGGAGGGGGCAGAGAGGGAGGAGGGGGAAAAGGGAGGGGCGGAAAAGGGAGGAGGGGGGGGGGGGAGACAGAGGGAGGGGGGGATGGAGGGCAGGGTGTGAGGGAGGGGGGGGATGGAGGGCAGGGTGTGAGGGAGGGGGGGGGATGGAGGGCAGGGTGTGAGGGAGGGGGGGGGGATGGAGGGCAGGGTGTGAGGGAGGGAGCAGTAGGGAGTGAAGGTGATGACACCCACAGCAGCAAGAGGTCAGGGAGGCGCTACAGGCAACACTGGCAATACAGTGATTCCCACCGTGCTTGTATATTCCACGTCCGCTCAACCCAATTGACCCCGCTGCCAAAATCATGGCACCTCCGCCGGTGCCGGACCCCGGCACACTACCTCCCTCATCACCATACGCCCCCCTCTCACCGGAAGCCAAGACCAACACTTACAATCCACAACATTGTTATTGTTTGCAGCTCTTCATCAAGTTCATGCTACTAAAACTTACTTCGCAGGATACTGGGAAACTTGTAAATGCACCCACTGCCTTCCCTCAGGTGGGTGGTTCAACTTGCAAATGGAGTTACGATTTCCTCGACTGTCACAACTTTTCGTATTGATGAGCGTGTACCAAGTTTAAAACAACTGAACAACTTCACATTTTAAAGTTTTCTAATTAAATGGATTAAAGTTATGGCACGAAATTTATCTCCCTAAAAGGAAACATCGATAATTATAGTTATTCTGCGACGCTGCACAGAACTAACACACTTTGTCGTCATTGGTTTAGTGCCGAATAAGCAAGTCCTCCAGAAAAGAAAAAGGTGACAGGTGAACTCGTGCCACTATTAGTGGCTGTCATTTTGTGCCCGCGTACTTATAATCCAGTTTAAAACAATTTATATATATATATATTAGTGTAAAATGTATGTGACCTGTGGTAAAGTGAAATTGCCCTTATCACGCCAAGTTGTGCATATGGGCACTGGCGTGACGGTGCGACCCAGCGGTTGTCAGGAGGTTGGACTACAGGCGACGGATCTCCCTATCATGGAGACCCTGAGCAGGAACTGGGTCTTGATCTCTCACGCTACGTTATTGGATGTCCACTCATTACACACTTCAGACTTGCCGACATGAGGAACATGGAGCTTTGCAATCATTTTATTAACCCTCGAATTCTTGATATTATCCTCATAATGCTCCCAGAGTTTGTCAGTGCAGGCTACTGATCACATGCCTCTGTATGACTAACCCTCCTGCGTAGTGGGGAGGTTTACCATCACGTAGCTAGTTCTTGACACACACTGTGCGTCCCTTCATATAGTCTAGGGCAGTTGCACAAACGCACATGTACCTCATTACAGGTATACAAGATACTGAAGATATAAGAAGATACTGGAGGGCCACGTACCAAATCTACACAGTAAAATAACAACGTACTGGAGTGAACGACATGGAAGAAAATGTAGAATAGAACCAGTGAGGAGCAGAGGTGCCATAGGCACAATCAGAGAACACTGTATAAACATCAGAGGTCCGCGGTTGTTCAACGTCCTCCCAGCAAGCATAAGAAATATTGCCGGAACAACCGTGGACATTTTCAAGAGGAAACTAGATTTATTCCTCCAAGGAGTGCCGGACCAACCGGCCTGTGGTGGGTATGCTGGCCGCTCCAAGCAACAGCCTGGTGGACCAAACTCTCACAAGTCGAGCCTGGCCTCGGGCCGGGCTTGGGGAGTAGAAGAACTCCCAGAACCCCATCAACCAGGTATCAACCAGGTAACCAGGTACCTAACTGTGTTTATAACAAGTAAACCATCACCAAGAAAGGCAATAAGAATCTTGCTCTTCTTATAGTTGTCAGTTGAAACAAGTGGCTTCTCTCATAGACATGGGACCTCACGAGCATTGTCTACACCAATGGCTCATTTCTCTCCTTAACAGAATGGACTGTAGCAGTCTCTAGGTTTTATAGTAAGACAAATACTTTCACTCAGACTATCAGTGTCAGGTTAAACAACAGAATTCACTGCAACTAGGTACCAGTACACTGCAATATTTAGGAGGAATAATTGTGTGTGATTCAAAGTCTGCTCTTGAAGCATTTTAACACTTCTCCTGCAAGGCCGACAGCAATAACCTGCTCGCTGCATAGAATAAAGTTTTTTTTTAACAACTCAACGTTCTAATACTATCATACCTTGCTCCTGAACTTGAGAATTTAAGTAGCTTTCACAACTTCTGCTTCAAGCGTGTTCGTCTTGATTAACCCCAGCACTGAAAACATTTTATCCTTACATTTTTCAGACTCCGTTTCAGTATTCCCCATCCCCCCCTCCGGTCACCCGGAAAAGTATATCAAATATTAAGTATATCAAATAGTTAATACAAGATACTAAGGGGGGGGGGGGGAGATACACGTTTTCATTAAATCACCTACGGTCCTTTAGGTCTCTATTCTTACAGGTCGGGGTTCGGTGCCCAAGTGGTAGGACACTATTCCTTTCCTTCGTCCCACCTCAAATTTGTATCCTCGTATCCCTTTCT